CTGCATTATTTTCAATTTAAAGTAATTGCTAGGTAACCAAAACTTTGGTCAAAATTAGCAAAAGCAAAAACACGGTTTTTTTTTTTTTGCGTGTTATTGAAACGAATAATGTGAATAGCATGTTATCATACTTGTTTAAACACACACAAAATTCATGTTATTTTACAAAAAAATACACACCATAAATAAAGTAACATTTTATTATCTTTGTCAATTTTGACAAATTTTTTGGTTATCTAATGCATTTTCTCAATTTTAATCCTCAGTGAGCGAGTAGAGTAAATTTCGATGAGAAATGTTGCCCAAAATATTAAGAAAAAAAAGTTTTTGCTGATCTTACAGTTTTTTTTTCTTTGCAAAAGAAGAAAAAACGAATTTAAGTCTGAAAACGTTACAGAATTTTTAGTTCTTTTTCAACTGTAAAAATAGTAAATTGATAAGAGTTTCTCCAAAAAGCAAGTTGTAAAGACAACTAATTAAGAGCTATTTACAAATCCGGCTTTATATATGTCTCTTTCTCTAAGGCTCTTCATATAAGTAATGGGAATTAAGAATCACAACACATGATACTACAAATATCATATATAATAAAAACAAAAAGATTATACATCGTCAAAGATGAAAATTCATGTGCTTTTCAAAGATCCAATAATTTCTTCTACAAACAATAATAATAAAATTACATAATGGGTTACCACCGCCTGCAAATATATTAATAATATGCATAAAGGCTTTAAATTTGTAAAATATTTATATATAGTACAAAAGAAAATTACCTCTCGCAATCTCTTATCTGAATTCAATCCTTTTGCCAGTTTTAGGAATGTCTCTGTGCTCCTGGAGGCGGCGCAGGCCTTGGGAAGTAATAGTTGAATTGCTCATCTCCAACCTTCGGTGCTTCCACATAAGGGCTTTGCGGCTCCTACAGAAAACGCGGTTACAATTGTATTTCATGAGTCCGTGAGTACAACTGCAAGAGACTATGAGTGAACCACGGTGTGCGTGGTTAATTGAATGGATAAAGAAGAAGGAGGTGTACCTGAGGGCCAGATGTAGAGTGAGATGCTTCATCGGATTTTGGTGATGTGGATGCATCATCACGGTCTTGACCATTTCCGTTTAGTTTGTGAAGTTCTGCTCTTACTAAAGGATCACTCTCACTGGCTATCTTGTTCTTCTATACAACCGGAAAGTTAAAGTTTTTTTTAATCAGTCCTTCCTTTCTCAAATGAATACTCTGAAGAATGAACAAATATGTAATTTGTTCTCCAAGAAGCGAATGAAACAGATTTTACCTGGAAGATCTTCCCCAGGGTTTTTAACCCCTTGGCCCTTGCACGAAGCTCCTCTCTCTTGGCGGTGGGATCTTGAAGAACCTAAGTCCAACAAAAAAAAATTCATAAAGAAGTGACAACAAAGAAATTGGACCGAGAAGCTATAGCAGCCAAATATTGAACAGTTATAGATAGACATACCAGCTCACAAACACGGGAGATGGTGCTTTCGATATCAGCAACATTAAGTTTCCATAGAGAATCAATCATCACTTTCTTATGGGACTTCATGTACTCTTCAAGTTCCTTCTCAGTATAATTGCCTTCCGCACTTAGCTGTCTTTTCATTTCCTCTTGCAGCTGGAATAAAGCGTATGCGCCTACGACAACAGAATAGAGCCAGAAAAAAAGTCACTAAACGTTGCTCCCTAAGAGAGGAGTACAAGTTCTAGAAATCTAGTAGAGTATTCTTGGGTTTTCTTTTCAGTAGTTGATTTACATGTTCTTTATGTAATCAATACTACAACTTCTAGCACCTGATATGAACATAATCTTAATGAGCTCGCCTTTGTTCCTAAGTCACTAACCTGTTGCAGCTGTTACTTGGGATTTGATGAAGTGACCTTTCGTCCTAAACCATTCAGCAACAAATGGTACACCGAGATAAATAGCTTTCTTCCCAAGCTCTTTCGCCGCTTGTCTTACATATATATATCCGATTGTGTTCAACATTTCCACACCGTATGCTGTTGAAGATAGATATAGAAAGAGGTAAGTCTGCTTCTTTAGCACAGATATGGCATTAATTGAAAGATAAAGCATAAACTATGAAAGGGGAACAATATGCTACGTAATATTGTTACCTGCATTTGAGAGTCTTGCTACTTCAGCTTCAGCCTTGCTAATAAATTCATCTTTGTTCGTCATGTATAGGTTGAGGCGGTCCTTAAGAATCTGAACAAGCTTGTCTTCTCTTTCTTTCTGAACAGCCTGAAACCAAAAGCAATCTAACATGCTTAGCAAATTATGAAAAAGGTGAACCTGGGTACTCTGTAATCTATGTCAAAAGTGACATGCTGATCACAATTCTTTAATCGCTTCTAATAATCTAAACTACTGTCTATTAAGAACAGGTGTTTAATCATGTCAAATGTCAATAGAGTGAGAGAAGAGTTAAACTTTTCTATCGATATGCTTTCTCATGTTTTATGCTTGATGTAAAGTATCTCAGGAAGGAACGGTGATCAAAGACTTTTCTAGCAGGGTATATCGGTAAATGATGACTTACCCTCATTTTGTCTATAATCTTTTTCGTATCAATCTGATCCCCTTCAGAAAGGATATCAAGTGAAGCAATTGATGCCATAGCAAGCTGCCCTATGTATTCTTCGAAAAGTTCACTCCCAAAAAGCATAGCAAATATTGCCGCGGGATCAATGATCTCACTGCAAGAATGAACACAACAAGTAAGAACTGAGAAAGAACCAAATTCTCTGCAACATGATCAAGATCCATGTCACCAAACTCCAAATGGTGCAAACAGCACCGAATGAACTATCACGAGAGAGAACAAGAAAAGACACTAACGTTGAAATCCCAGACTTCCCACATGTGTCATAGGCCTGACGTTGCCCTGGATCACTTAGCACTTGGTAGGCCTCTCCCAACACCTGTATAAGAACATAGGCTCTCAAAAAAGCTCATCCAAAAAAAAATCATCAAAGAAAAAAGTAGATCACGAAAGACGAAAGCATTATCATACTATATGCTAATCTCTTGGAACCCTGATTTTCCTCAAAACTAATGTCACTGGTTAGTCCTGCTGATATGCTTTTACGGGCATAATAACAGCTATACCATGCACAGCAAACACTATCAACTTCCACTCTTAAGTTTCCAAATCATTAATTAATCCTAAGGTGGGAAAATCCACTTGCGTCAGATGCGCTCAACAAAAATTGAGACAAAACTACAAACTCAATCATCTTGTAGAACCCGTTGCTTTTACACAAGGGAGCGTGGTCAAAGCATATAACACAGAATCCAGACAACAGCTTCTATGTTACATCTGCAAGTTTACCCCTCCAATACTTTCCAAATATGCTTTGACCATAGGCGTGATATACGTCATAGGCGAAGAACCCCAGAGACTTAAGAAGGAATGAAAACAACTAACACTAAAGATAAGGAAATTTGCATGGGTAGCAATTCAAACAATGGTGTTTTAAGCTCCTTTTCTCTTAACACTATTAAAAATCTGAACTTGCCTGGAAATTATGAGCAGCCTGAGGATCATTCGGGTTTTTATCTGGATGTACTTGGCGTGCCTGTAGAAGAAGACAAACAATCCAACAATCAGCATTTCGTAATCCCTAAATCGATCAAACCTAATTCTCTTTTGTTCATTACAGATTCCAGAAGACACTGAAGAGCTCTTAAGAAATAAACTTCCCCCACTGATCATCCGATTCAATCTTTTCACACAGCAAAACTTGATTACATCTAATGGGTGTGCACACAAATCAACCCCGTATTTAGAAACTCCCAGATTCGGAATTTAGCTAACAAAACTAGAGAATCGTAGAATCAGAGATTCGATTTGGGAAACCTTGATGTAGTAAGCTTTCTTAATCTCGGCCTCTGTAGCGGTAGGGCTAACGCCGAGGACATCGTAATACTCTGTCTCCTTCACCATTATTTATCCGATCACGATCTCGACCTTCCGATTCCGAGCTTCTCAGATCACAGCGACGAGAAGAAGAATGAAGAAAACTCTCAATCTTCTCTAGTGAGACGCGTAAACACTCCACGCGCAGGGCAATTCAACTCAACCGCTCCTTTTTCTTCTTCG